TGGGATTTTCAGCTTCTTCTGTGGCTGACCTTCAAAGACCTTTCGTACAATATTGGCATTGGTTGAGAGCTCTCCAGGCCGCTTTCGAATACGTTCAATAAAGGTGTCAAGCGAATGAATGGTGCTTAGTGCTAATACCATATTATTATCTTGCATGGCAAGACAGAGAACCTTCTCTTGTTCAATAGCATATAGAGTATTCCATGGAATAGCTGCCGTATAATCTCTAAGCTCTGCGAGAACTGCCGGAGCCTGATTTGAATGAGTAGTTCCACATGCACCATATCCCTTTTCACGTAGGAATTTGAATAGTGCAACAGATGTAAAGTAATTATCTAGATAAACTGAGTAAGGAGTTACCTGCTGAGTGATAGAGGATTCAGTGACCAGCTCTATAAGTGACTCTGTAGGCAGCTCTGTGGGCGGCTCTGTGGGCGGCTTCGTGGGCGGCTCCGTGGGCGGCTCTGTGGCCGGCATAGAGATAGTGGGAAGCCGTTGAAGGAGATTCACCACCATAGATCCCGTCTTTGTTAACCCTGGGAATTGAAACATAGGCATTATACTCTACCGGCGGCTTGACCAGGAAAAAGACCATAAATAGCCATGTTCTGCTAGGCCAAATATCTTATATCCCCGAGGAATTGGCTTGGAAGGCATTTTGTAGGTGTGTTGACTCCGTCCAAAACATTTAATCATTATCTCATCTATTGAAATCTTAGAGCCAGGGGTGTAGTATTTTCGGCATGCTGTATGGAATTCAGTAGCTAACGGCTCTACCTTATACCACCAGTCCTTATTTTGAGCCTCGGGCCGGCGGGCTTCATGGGGGTTTGATATATGAATATATCATTTAAGCTGTTGGAATCGCGTATGGCTCATATAGGATTGAATGGAATGAATAGAGCCCTGTTTCAGGTCATTCCGCCAGTATAGATCAGTCCGTTGGGATTTATGGACTTCCATATAGAGAAGAAGGTCTATAAAAACCTTTATCTCTGCTGGATTGATCTTTTTCCATTCTCGTGGCTGAATAATAGAAGTAGAAATAGAAGATGTTTCCACTATTATTTTCTCTGTTTCTATCTCCATCTCCACACCTGAGAGCTCCGGAGCTTCATTATCAGTATCTCCATCCTCT